CACCAGCTAAACATGTCACTGCAAAGTAATTCAGGAGCTGCAGGGGGCTTACCGTGTAAGAATCAATGATGGCAAATTTACCCTGAGACAATACAGCAAGGAAACCCTCTGTGTTGCACAATATGGCAAATCAAAATTCAAACAAATAACTTTCAAAAGAGGATTGGATAAATACTCAAAATGGAGCCAATTTGGCAGGCTATGAGGAAAGAGCAGAGGTCATGGCATGAGGATTGGCATTTGAGATTGCCCCAGTGGTGCCATTTTTGCTTTAATTGTTTCAAGTTGAACTCTAGACAGACATTTGTGTGGATCCACAGGACACCTAGTAGGGGACTGCATTTTAAAAGTCTGCAAGACCTTGACAAGAAATCAAAGGGACATTTCTCCCCACCCCGCCATCTTCCAAACCACTTTCTCCCTAGCCTCAAAACGTACCAGCTCAACAGAATGGAGACCAACGGTGCCTTATGCACTGGCGTGTGAAGACAAGGCAATAGCATTTGTCAGCAACACATTCTGCACCCTGGCACATGTTCTTAAAGTAAGACAAGATCAAGGCTTTTTATAGTAACTGAGCCTAGTGATGCTCACAGCTATTCATAAAGCAACACAAAAACTATATTACAGGAGTGAAACTGTTGGAGGTGGTGGGAGAGCACAAGAGGGAGAGAGAGAAAGACTGGGAGAAAGTAGATTGAAGGAATGGAGGAATTGAAGTCTGAAACAAAGAAAAAGTGATCAGGGGATTGTGCCTTTAATTACATGAAAATTCTCTGGGGAAAGCTCCAATTTAAACCGCTTAGAAAAAGATGCTGCTGGTTTATAGTAAATAAAAACCGAAAGAACTGCAGATGCTGTAAATCAGGAACAAAAACAAAGTTGCTGGAAAAGCTCAGCAGGTCTGGCAGCATCTGTAAAGGAAAAAACAAAGTTAACATTTTGGGTCAGAACTGAGGAAGGGTCACCGGACCCAAAACGTTAACTCTGTTTTTTCCTTCTTAGATGCTGCCAGACCTGCTGAGCATTTCCAGCAACCTTGTTTTTGTTGGTGCTGGTTTATAGTCTTTTCTTGAGCTGAGTCCAAGTAAGGACTTTCTGTTTCAGTCTAAACCTCATTTATTAGATATGAAACAATGTTAAGGCTTGCAAAGCCATTATGGTTGTAGGCAGCATTGTGGCCATAAATTCATGTGACTGTTTCACACCTATGTTGTCTCCATTCCTGGACATAAAATTGGTCCTCCAAGTGGCAACAGAAATCCCCAGTGTATCTTTCGTCCTGAAATATCGCAGGTGAAGTTTCAAAGTCATAAGTCATTGAAAAGTACATCTGCCACTGGGAAAGAAAAAATGACCATAATTCTAAGCGTATCTCGGTCAAAGACAGGCTACAGCTCAACTGCAAGATCTACACGTGCACAAGTAAGTGTAGGTGTGAAGGACTTGCATTTATATAGCACCTTTCATAACCACCAGATAGCTCTAAACGCTTTACAACCAATTAAACTTTTCTTTGGGAAGAGTACTCAGTTTTAATGTCAGGAAAAAAAGGGCAGCCAATTTGAGCACAGCAAGCTCCCACAAGCAGCAATGTGATAATGACTTGATAATTTGATTGTGCGACTGAGGAATAAGTATTTCCGGGGACTCTGGATAGAATTCCCCTGCCCTCCTTCAAGACAGTGCCCTGGGATCTTTTATATCCACCTACTATATCACCTCAGAGAAAGACAGCATTTTTGACAGTGCAGCACTCTCTCAGCCCTGCAGGGGAGCATTAGCCTCAATGTTTGTGCTCAAGCTCTGAAATGAGATTTAAACCTAGAGCCTTCTAAATCAGGGTCAAGACTGCTACCCACTAAGCCACAAGGGTACATCATTAGTTGCATAATGAAACCTCAACAGAGAGAAAGTTATTAAAGTTGGCAATCACCATGGTATTTAACGGGTAAAGTAACAGGACAGGAATAGAAATGAGGAGTCAAACAAGTGTAAGAAAGAACATTCATTTATGTAGCACCTTTCACAACCTCAGGATGCACCAAAGCACTTTACTGCCAGTGAAATACTTATAAAACATAGTCACTGCTGTAACGTAGGAAACCCAGCATATCAAGCTCCTAAAAACAGCAAATGTGGTCATAACCAGATAACCTGTTCAGTGACGTTAATGGGGAGGTATTAAATTGTCCAGGGCACCCTTTCTGCTCCTTGTTCTTCTTTAAAAATAGACCCATAAGATTTTTTTTAATGTTCACCCAAGAGGAAAGGCAGGACACTGGCTCAACGTCACGTCCGAACTTCAGCACCTTGGACAGTGCAGCGCCCCCTCAGCACAGTGTGGGGCTCCCCGAGTAGTGCTGGAGTCCGAGCCTTGATTTTGCGTTGGGAGTGGGACTTGAGCCCACAACCTTCAGACTCAGAGTGCCACCAACTGAAAGATAGCTGCCTCCAGGTGTTTAATTCTGCTTCCAGGGTCATCAGGTGAACCAACTTTACACCCAAAATAACAAATGGCTGGAAATATAAAAGCTGAAATAAGGTTGAAGGAGCATACAATTGGAGGTCCAGCCTTTGAAATACATGCCAGGGGCCATCACAGGGATGGACAAAGATCACTAGTGCTCTCCCTCGCCTCAATGTACTTCCTGAAGCAGCTAGCCCAGCCAAGCCCCACAATGCACCAGTCTCTCAGCAACTACACCAAGAGTCATGTCTCATCCCACAAGCTTTAGGTCCGTAATCTAAGCCAACACTTTAGTATTGCAGTGTCGGAGGTGCCAACTTTCAGGCGAGGTGTTAAAGCAAGGTCCCTACCTGCCTCCCACAGCTGGTCTCCTGGGGACTTCTCCCCAGGGTCCAGCCCAATATCAATCCCACAACCATCAGACCTGGTCAATTTATCCTTCTGGATGTCTGTGGGAGCATAGTGCCTGCAAATGAGTTGCTGGAGTAGGACTTGAACCCACAAACTGGAACTATGTTTCAGATGCCTGTATCTAGCCACACTGCAGTGCCTTGGCAGCCATTTTAAAAAAGTGGATCCCAACCTACAACGCACACAAATTTTTTTTCCACTTCATCACAGATTGTTCCCTGCCATTTCTCATTACTTTGGCGATATAGCACTGACCTAATTTAGACACCAGGGGATCAATTCCTCAGTGCAAATTTCATCCCCTGGTGTCCTCACCATTTAAGCAGTTGAACCCATGCCTTAATCTTTATCCTTGCTGAGGTTGATTACAATGAGTGGAGTGCAAAGTACCCCATGTACAGGGACACACAAAGTAAAGCTGCCATAGTCCCAGACTCATTACAGTGGGATGACTGGTGGTGGTTTAACCTGATGGTCTCAAGCAGAGGTGGAAGTTGAGAACGCAGGGGGCTTTCATTAAACCCCAGCTGCTGTGGGAATTGAACCCATGCTGTTCGTGTCACTTTGCATCGCATACCAGCTGCCCGGCCGAACTGAGCTAACAGAACCCTTCCTAGGGACAGCATGCCTGGCATCATTAAGGTAAGGCAATGGCTAGCACCAAAAATTTAAAGGTGACAGGAATCCTGCATCGAGCAAACGGGACTTACCACTGTGAAGTTCTCAGGGCCGCATTCTTCCATCCGGTACCTACAATCCTTGAGCATGTCTTCCAACTGATGACTGGTCCTGTTGAACAACTCGTACATGCTGAAGGGCGCGCCGTCGTTCCTGACTGGTGGCGCCAGCTGGAATCCCGGATCCATGCCCTTGGTGTATCCCATTAACGAGCCAGCAAAGGCCAAGTCCATGGATGTGATCTTGGAGCGTCTAAACCTGTTGAAGTTGCAGAGGGTCACTGCTGGGAAGAACAGGAAGGAGCTGTCCATCTCATCGAGAGCCGTGATGTGATGGTACTCCAAATAATACTTGACCCGGTCCACCACCTGGTACAGAAAGATAGCGAGGGAAGACAGGAAAGCACAGCCCCACAAGACTTGCCGGATCCCACAGCCACCTTCAACAAAGATATGGCTCATTCCATGCAGGTTGGAATTACTGGCAAACTCGGCAAGGCTGACCCCGGTGGACTGGTGGTCTTCTTCATGGTCGTCCTTTTCAGAGAACCGATCAAAACTCTCTGCCCTTCTCTTCTCCTCTGCTTTCTCATCGTCCGCCGCAAAAGAAATAGTGCAAAAGATCTGGACTGGCATCCTGAATATCCTGAATAAGCACACAGGAAGAAAGCTGCTTTTCTTTTCCCCCTCTTGTTGTAAATTCCACACACACACACACACACACACACACACACACACACACACACAAAAAGTACCAGTTCGCCAGTACAAAAAAATGTTCTTTTAAAATAAAGTTCAGATCTGACATAGAAAAATAGTTAAGCTAATAAAATACAAGTTAAAAGGTTTAAAAAAAGCATACATTCCATGCTGCAGAAAGTTAAGAAGGCATTGGATATTAGCTCAAGCTGTCTGTGTTGTACAATAAGTGCCATTCAGCTCCACTGAAGAAGTACTCTATGTGTGTGTGTGTGTACGTGTGATCACACTGCCAGAGTACTGAAGCCAGGATGATGAGCAGACTCAGCCTGCTTAATAATTTATCAGGAGCCCATCCCAACTGACTATAGGGAGGGCTTTTGTCAGTGGATTTGGCACTGCTGCCTCATCACTGAGCCCTGATCCACCAGTCCATTGCAAGCACAGAAACTCTCATGACAACCTAGAGCTCTGACGCACACTCTCTTCCTAAACAAGCACTGTGAGGCATTTCTTACCTTCCAGCTATTAGCAGAGGGAAAAAAAAGGCAGCAGAGCGGGAAGTGTTAAGAGAGAGAGCGAGAGAGAGAAAACGAGTCTCTCTTCCTCATTCCCACTCTTCTCTGCTTTGCTCAAAATAGCCTCAGTGAAAGAGTTCAATCATCTTAATGAGTCAAAATTTGAAAGGTGATGTATCAGCCTCTCTCTGCAATTGAGATTTATTGTCCTGCAATTGCTGTGTGTTGACCGATTTGACGG